CTTCTGCTTGTGAAGTGATGTTGTATTTTTGACAGTTGAGTCGGGTCTGTGAATTCATATTCGTACTGAAGAAAGCGTAATTGTAAATTTTCATTTCGTGATTGTAATTCTTGATGTCGTAACTTTTCAGTTCGTATTCCGATGGATAAAATACACACAATATATTTTATGTACGACTGGACGCATTCGAGATTTTACGAATATTTATTTTATGCTCAACCACAGACAAATATGCACGGATTTCCCAAATATGCACAGATTCTATGTACACAAATATTTCTAAAAGCTTTCTTACTCCATAGTTTTAACTCTTAAAATAGGTCTCTGAGGTACTTTTACTTCTTAAAGGAGTTCTGTGACATAGACTCATATTTTAAACTTTTAAAATAGTATGTGAGTTAGGCTTGTGCTTTACCACCAAAGAGTCCCGTAAGGCCTGTGTTTTACCTCTTAAAAGTAAGTGCATTCGTATGAGTAGGTGTGGACAGTGATTCAAAGAGGAATCATCTCAGTCATGGAGAAATGAGTGTCACCAGGCTAGTTGTTGTTCCTCTTCCTGGCTTTATTCCAGCGTTGCCACTCTAAACTGCAACAAACACAATAATCAAAAATAAGGGACGTACAATAACATTACATCCTTCGTAAGCTAGGTAACCATAAAATAGTTATTGAGGATTGTTTCAGACGGAGCACTACTGAAGGCCTAGGTGTGAAATGCACGCTCTGCCACTGGAATTATCATTATTATTATTATTTTTTCACCACTTTTCATCAGCCAATTTATTCCTGTCTGTGTGCGTGTGTCTGTGGCACGCAGGAGACCAAATAACATATTGCAACAGACAGACAATTTAGATAAATTAAATTCAAAATTTCAAGAAAGCAAACCCATTTTCAACAGTCTAATTGTTACAAAAATCGTTACGCCTCATGTAAAAATTGTTTTACCAAACAAGGATTAACGTTAGCTAACTTGCCTCAACTCAGTGTTTAACAAATTTCATTCAGACTCGACAGAAAGTAAAATAAACTCACCACAGCATCTCTGTTCTCTGTCATTTCACTATTTCCTCATCCACCAACTGTAGTTTACTCGTTATAACCCCTTAATACTCTCTGCTAGATGTAAATATGTTCTAGCTTTAATTCATGCACCTCTTTCCCTCCTGGTTATGCTAACGTGACTGTGTAGCATTAACTGAGCTGCTTTTGTCACTCGTTCGAAGGAAGAGCAGTATATTAAATTGACCATAGCAAAATCAAATACAAAAAATAAATTACAATAACACACTCACTCACTAGATAACTTGTTGAGCAACAGTTCGATTTCAAACATGATTTTACTTGTATTCTCTTGGCAAAGACAGTTTTTACTTACCGTTTTATTTGTAGATGCACAATCCGATGCAGAGGAAGCAGGTCGTCTTGCAACGCATGTCTCCGATGCACTGGCAGTAAAACTTTCCCTCGCAAGTTTAGCGCGCACCAGATTTCAAAAAATACTGTAGTTTACTGTGATTTACTCTGATTTATAACATTAACATACTGTTGAAGGCATGTGTGCTGTTGCTTCACGTTCAGCAGCCCACAATGCATTGCAAATTACAGTATAAAACTGTATTACAGTAATACAGTATATTACTGTTGGAAATTGGCCGTAAATTTACAGCAATTGCTTACAGTGTAGTTACAGCAGCTGCAGTTACTCCACTTTTATTTTGAATCACTTAAGAAACTACTTAGTTTCTTTACATCAAGATTTCTCAAAAACAAGACAGAGTCATAAAACTTAGTCATAAATAAAACAGGTGTTTTTTGTATTAACTCAATTTTGACAAAATACACAGTTACTGTGTTTCTCCTTTGAGACAGTAATAGTCACACTATGTACTTTTAAAGTGGTACATATAGTGCATAAAAATCCAAATCATTCAACAGTGGGGGAAAAAACACTTTCAAAACATATTTATCTACTTCAAATATCAGGGGAGATTACACGGTCTCATATAATAATACTAGTAGATGTACTGTTTTTCAGAATAATTGTTTAAATAATAATAATAAAAATTGCATCTGTAGACAAATGTATGAATAGTTTAAATGAATACAGCTTGTAGCTTTTTCCAGATGTGACACTGTGTCAAAACACTTAATATAGTGGAGCCAGAGAATGCATTTAGCTTTTTTGATTTTCAACATGGATTAGATAAAAAACTGTGCTAATTTGCGTTAGATAAAATCCCAAACAATTACAGTTTAAGTGGTTTCAGAATAGACGATTGTTTGTGTACCATGTTCTCAAACAGACCACCCAGTGCAAAATAACATCTAGCAGCCTTTTATGTGTTTGCGGATTCCAGATACTGACACACAGATTTGAAGTTCAGCCTAGGCCATGGCAGAATCAAGACTGTTGTATGGATTTTAGGAAGTAGCATTGTGAGAAACATTCTGTAATGAAATGTCATACGCAAATGAAACTATGAACAGGATATGAAGTCATAGTATCGCTCAGTGATTTGTTTTGTTACGGTATTTGTAAATCAAAGAACATTGTCTAATTCTAGCAGTATGGGGAACTGACAGAGGAGAAAATGCTGACCGGATGCCCTGCAGACCTACTTCATGGTGATGTCTGTCTGCAAATATCACATGTCTGTTACTCAGAGAGGTTAGTGCCAAGAGGTACAAAACAGATCTGACTTACACTCAAAATGATTTAAAAAGTTGTAACAGTAACAGTTGTGTTCATTACACTAAAAAATGCAGCAAAACGTGTTTTTACTGTGAGCAGGGTCCATCTCCACAAACCTGACTTTTATTTGGCCTGGAAGTGAATCTCCTCCTTCTTGTCTCCATGGAAATATTGTTCCTTGGGCTATAATCTTCCACAGTATGGCATAAAATAATCTATCTCTTTGAAAAATGTTTCAAAGTATAGTTTTAACTTTATGGAATGGCATGGAATTGTGCAGGCAATGTGCCACCTCAAGAAAGAAACATACTGTACCTTTAAATCACTGTGTATTCTACTAAAGTTTTCTGTCTCTGTGTCTGCAACCTTAAATATAAGCATTTTTGCATCATAATTGGTAATTTAGTAATGCTCTACTTTTTTAGTAGTAACTATACAATGCCCTCTTATAGGTAAAATCATTCTAATTTATCATTTCCAACACCAGGTCAAGATACAGTTCATATCTATGGACAAGGCAGCAGCCCTATGTGTTTCCAAGATGTTTTTAAAGTAACAAAAACATATGCAATTGAAGATAAGGTTAATGCCATACATTGAAACATTCCAGGCAAAGCAATGACATCTCGGTGAAGAAAATCAGATGGCCAACACCACATCAGGAAAAGTAACAGAGTATCTTGAAGAATAATGTATGCTTTTTACACATACATAGCCCACTTGGAGTCTTAATTAGCCTACAGTCTGCAGAATACAACCAGTCTCGGTAAGATGTAATTAGCAGTGAGAGTAAAAAAGTGATCAAGATCATTTGGGGGTCTCTAATAATGGGGAAGGGGACGCTGAACAATGGGAGCCTGCCAGACAAAACCCAGGGCAACACACGCTCACTGCTCTTGTGATTTAGGGTCTGTACAATCCCAGATGGTTCGTTACATCACTTTGAGCTGCTATTACACACTATAGTAAAACACATGTTGCCTTTTGATGAACCACAGTTAAAATAAAATGGTTATGGTGTAATTTAGTTTATTCATAAAAACAAATCAAGGCCTGTCAAATACCACATAGGCAGTGCAAATGTTACAAGCTGGTGTTGAAAGTCTGTTGCTCAAATGATGAAGTAAAAAGAAAAGCTGCTGTGAAATCTGGCAGTGTTGCTTTCCTTCCTCCAGCTCTTAGCATATCAAGATGTTTTATCAGCAAAATGCCAAGTGTGCTTTGTCATCTGATCTTCCATAGCTTAAAAGGTTTGACCAAAGAAAGGTATAGACAACAGTAGATAAAGGTACCAAATTAATATTATTGTTCACATGTTACAATGCAGTGTTATTATCATGAGGTTTTAAACTGCTAAATTGACTGTTGTGAGTTTAAAGTCCTGTTATAATGCTGTTACCTCCTCAGAAACATACCCAGAGTTGTGTTTTGTTTCATTCACATATGTTTGAGTAATCCTGCATTATTAGTCTGTCTAAATGTCTAAAGCTCAAAATGCTCTGTCCCACTCAGTTCCACCTTATGTGCACTTTATCACATGCCATCACAATATTCTTCTGAAGTAAACATGTGTGAATAAAACAAAACATAACTCCAGGTATGTTTGTGATGAGGAAACAATTAGAGAATTGATCAGAAAATAGCTGAATATGGGCCCTCTAATATTATTGCTAACATGTTACTCATGTCATTATAATGGGTAAACCAGCTGTTTGTCTCTATGGAGCTTCTTACTTTGGTTGTTTCACAGTATGGCATTAAATGTATTAATCTCAAGCAGTCAAGCAGGTCACGTGTGGAGAGGTGATCTGCTCACGGTATAATACATTTGTCTTTGTTATATTCTGTTGAGTATACATATAAACTTGTCTTGTCTATTTCAAGGTATTTTTGAGCAATTAAAACACATGCAAGTGAAAGATAAGTTAATGCTCTTAAGTTATGTTGAAACATCACAGTCAAAGCAATAACACATCCACAGAGACAAGCCTCCTATCAGGAAAGTTACTTTTTCTCACCACAGCACCACAGTGTAAAGTTTGTAGTCCACATGAGACTTCACAGCCCACTGAACCTCGCTGCTCATTACACGTCTTTAAGATCATTTAGCAGACAAGCCTCAAGCACTGACAATTACACTTCACAATAGTGAAAGAGTCTTACAAATATCAACAGGAAGAAAAAATATGTCATTATTTATCTGTATTACATCGTATATAATTATTTTAGTTTGAGTAATTGATTGATGAGGTGGTTTGGTGAAACATTCAGCATTTCTCCTCAAAATAAAACATGTTACAGTAAATGTTTTCAAATGTTTATTACAAATATGGTATAAATAAATGTTTCGTAGTGGTATATTATTAATTTTAGATTGGTACATAACAAGCGAACACAACAAAATTATCTTATAAAACAAAGAACAGGCTTACAGTGTTTGAATTCCTCCCACTTTCACACAGCAGTACTTCCTAACAGGGTATTAAACCATATGCACCATAACATAGTCAATAAAATAATTTATATAAATAACAGTAGTTATTTCAGTCAAATCAAAAGGCTATGAACTTGTAAAGCATATTTACAAATTGTTACAGCCATAATAATATATTCCAGTTTTTTAGCAGCTACTCAAGGTAAAACATGTAAAGAACAGTGTAAATAAAAGTGTACCACAGGAGTTCAGTTTTACTTTTTCTAATAGTGAGGCATTTTAGAGCCTCCATACATTTAATGGAGTTGAATCACTGAACTAATAAGCAAATACCTGAGCTTACAACATGTTTTACACAGATGTATCATGTACTACACAGCTACAATATAAAATGACAATGATACAGTAATGTCGCAGCAGTTTCAATCATTCACAGTTTTTAGTATGTTTTTATCAGCAGTTAAAGGTGTGGTGCACTGGTGTAGGGCCTAAACTCTGGTATTACATACAGCACAAGGGGGAAAGACATTTCTCAAACATAAACCCCATGTCTTCCATAGACTGTATAAAGGAAATTTTATATCTACTATCTATGATTTCTACCATAATATAAATACTCAGACAGGCACATGTGAATTGATTGTACTGGGTTATGTTGTTGCACAGTACATGCAGAGGTCAAATCTAACATACCAGTCTGCAAGGCCAGCCTCTCAGCTCTGTAATTCATCAAAAGATTTACACATCTGGGTCACCATTATACATTCCACTTAAAGAAATAAAAAATTCACCTTTGGTTGCTAGTTCAAAAAGAAATGCGTTTAGTTGATCTATTTTGACTGTAACCCAGTGTTGTAACAAAACATTATATAGAAAAATATATTCCAAACTTTGGCCAAAAAAAACATAAAACTAGTCATCAGCTAGTTGGTGTAATCCCTCATTTGTCCAGGAGTGGTCCAAGGTAGAAAAGGTTTCAAAAGCAGTCACCTTCAAATCAGTGTTCAGACTGAAACTTTAATTCTCAACTAATATAAGACAATCCAGATTCACATAGTTAAAGCTACCATCTGTAAATTTAGTTGTTTTTTTTTTCACCAGAAGATGGCAGATGTGAAACTTGTTCCCCTTCTTCCCTCCCCTCACCTATCCTTTGTTCAGGCTCACCTGAGCTTTCTGGTCTTCTTCTGTCAGGCCAAAGCTGGTGTACTATCAAACACAAGTAACAACTAGTGGTGATATGTGAGAATGTAAGAGGATGGGGAATAGGCCAATCTAATTACAAATGGTAGCTTTATGTGTAAAAGGTATTCACACGATAGGCAATTTATACCTGCCTTCTCTTACAGACTGAAAAAGGTCAAAGAATTCTTCATAGCTCATACCCAGTATTGGTTTTTACGAAGAGTTGGGGTAGCAACAGTTATGATCTGAGAGGATGCTGCAGGCGAATCATTACTCCACGTGCTAAACATGGAAGAGTCAATAGTGTTATAGGCCGAGCTCTGATGGTGTGACAGGAAGCGATCTAATACAGGGCTAGAGGGACAACTGCCTGGGTTAAGTGGAGTTACTGTTACAGTGGGAACTGTGGGACTACTATACGACTGACTACCAGACATATTTTGAGGGTGGGCTCTGTTGGCATGGCCCTTTTTGGCTTTCTCTGCCTGTGATGCCTGAGGAACACCACAAGTACTACAAATATGATGACAAGCAAAAGCAAAGCCAGTAATGGTAAAATGACAAGGAGAGGATTGGGAGATTTTTGAGGATAAGACTCTACACGAACCGGTGTGTTCCTAAACGGCATGTCTTCTTCAGTTACATGTTTCGGTTTGCCAAGAGTGGTGCTAAAAATGCTAGTTCTGTTTGAATTCCCCCAGCGGTTACGTCCTTTGTGGTATTTCTGCTGGTTTTTGCTTGGCTGCTGCGTAGCGGGAAATGGAGTGGATGTGATGAGACGAGTAGTCCCGTTTTGCAGTGTCCGAATAGCTGTCTGAGGAGAAGGCATTGTGGTAACAGTGGGGCTTTTTGTGGTAGGTAAAAGTGCTGGATCATATGGCACAATGCTAAAGTGGAACTCCCCTTTCGCTGGAGGAACACTATCTGCTTTCAGGACAAATATGAGAGAGTCATTCAATTCCTGCACCCCAGTCATGTTCGCACTCAGCTCCAAAGCAATTTTCCCTTGCATTAACTCCTCATATGTAAAAGACTGCACAGGTGAACTTTTCTTGGCCTCTATCCGAATGATCTTCCCTTTATTTGGATGGGACACTATTTTGAATACAGGAGCACTCTCACTCATAAAAGCCAACTGAGAGGCATTGAGTAAGCTAGGGTTAAGCTTAACAGCCACTCCATTGGGAATTACTACACCTTGTCCTATGTGGATCAATGGTTTAACAGAGATATTGAGTACTTGTTCAGTTAAATTAGCTTCTGAAGTGAAAACAATTTAAAGCTATCTTCTCCAGATGCTTGTGAGATCATGTGGTATGACACCTTCCCCAATAAATCCTCTTGCCCAAATTGTGCGATCTCTTGGTTATCTTTTAAAAGTTTTCCATATCGTGGTGGCTCTGTAATCTGGTACCTAATTGTAGTGTTTTTGCCATTTGTTTTTGCATAAAGATTGCTTTGTGAGAGTAGGGCTGATGTTTTGTCTTGCGTCAGCGTAATCTCACTGTGGTTAACAAGAAAGATAATAATTTCAGTCACATCGACATTAAAGAGTTTGTAGATTGGCTTGTGGTAACCATCAGTGACACTGAAATAGAACACACCAGAGGCAGTGCTCCCATCATGGACAAAAAACACGCTACCATTATTAATCTGGGCTTGAGTGAAAGAATTTACTGACTCATTCAAGCTCACATCAAGAGCTAGATACCCATTATTAGGTTTGCTGATCACAGTAAATTTAATATCATCTGGAGGGTTGTCCAAATCTTCAACTTTGAGGTTTTCAGGCCTCAACGATACAGTATCTCCCTGAACCACTTTCAAACTAGGAGATTTAGTTTTGAGCACAGGTGGTTGGTCATTCACGGAGGATATTGTTATATTAAATGTTTCTTCAATAACATCACCATTACTAGGTCGCTGTGCTGTTTGTCCTTTAGCATTGAGCCAAGCGCTGAAAATGAATTGGTCATGAACAGTCTCAGAGTTGTCATGTTTATAGGTGATTCCGTACTTGTTGATGATAAACTGTGAGAAGTTCGGTTTTTCTTTGGTGAGGTTGCGTTCGCCAACTACAATAACGCCGTGCTGTGGCAGAGACGTGACCTGATACCAGACTTCAAAAGCACCCCGGTCTGGGGCAGGCAGCTTTGTCAGCAGGTTTGAAGCATCCAGGCTGGACTTACTGATCACAACACTCTCCCCTTCTGTTACATTAGCACCTGTGCAGAGTGAAAACATGTAATCAGGGTTGTATTTACCAAAAGCAGTTAAAGATTATACATCACAGTTTGTGACATACTAACAATACAAAAGATTAAATAAAAAATAAATAAACAAAAAAGGATTCAAAATTACATTGCAGTGTTTCCTACCGATTTATACCACTATGATGGCAGAGTCAATCCTCACAGGGGGAACCAAATCATTGTTTTGCAAGTAAAGTAAGTCTCAAGTCTTTGCCTCCAAGTTCAAGTCAAGTCCTAAATCAGCAGCTTGTATTTTTGCAAACTATATGATTTTTAAACTAAATTGTACTTAAACATTTATGGTACATTTATATGTGCAATATTTTGGAGAGGCTTCAAGAGAAGTGCTGCTTTCTCCTTTTAAAATGTCTTGACAAGAACTTAGTGCGAATCATTATGATCATAAAAGAAAAAATTAAATTTAAAAGTGCTTAATAACAGTTATTTTCTCATGTAGTCTGCACTGAAATGGAAGGATCATGATTGTACAGTAACAAATAGAGAAGTGAGCATTGTTTATATTTAATATGTTAATTGTTTCTTTGACATATATTTGTAAAAGCAGTAGTAACAAATAGAGAAGTGAGTATTGTTTATATTTAATAGATAAATTGTTTCTTTGAAATATTTTGTAAGAAGTAGAAGTTAGCAATATAACTAGTTAGAGCAATTAAGTGTGCAAACATACCAGTGTTTGCTAGCAGCACAGTGTTGTGTCCTGGTCCAGTGTTTTCATAGGAGATGTCTATCTTAAAGGTCTGGCTCTCCAAAGAAGTAGGAGGTGATGAGATAGAGAAGGTCATGGAGTCCATAGCCTCCCATCCCACTGAGTCAATAGGAGCCTGGACATACAGCACTTCCTCTCTGTCCACCTGTGTAGCAGCAAACACAATTTAACAGATTAAGCCTTGTACAACAGGCTTCCTCAGGAGTAAGTATGCACTCTGCCTTGGCGCTTAAGAGAAAAATCCATCAGCATATATTGATTACATGCAAGACTCCACATTTTCTGTTTAGCAAGGAAAGCAAAGTCAGCTCTCTGGATATAATGACCTATCTATTATTTAAAACAATAAAAAAATCCACTTTACTTGAATGAGACCTACTGTTAAATATTCAGTACAATGGTATTGTATGCAGTCTGGTGACCTAAATAAAGAAATTTTTGTATATTTACCATGTCTTGTGTGAAAGTGGAAATGTCAACCACAGAGTTATCAGGTTGCTTCAGTATGAGGCGGCCCAGTTTTGGATGTCGGGTCACACTGAAGGTGATGGTGCGGTTAGAAGTGTCACTGATATCATTGGTCACTGCTTGCAAATTGTCATTAGTAATTGGCACTGATAAACCTGCAACAACAAAAAAAAACGTCTTGTGAGCTTTAAGTCATGTTAGAATGTTGTTACCATTTCAAAAATATATTTTGAGTTGTGCTTTGTTTCATTCACACATGTTTGAGCAATCTTTTATTATTAGTCTATCTATCCATCCATCCATCCATTTTGTCCGCTTATCCAGGGCCGGGTCGCGGGGGCAGCAGCCTAAGCAGGGACTCCCAGACTTCTTTCACCCCAGACACTATAGTCTATCTATATCTCCAAATTTAAAAATGCTCTGTTCCACTTTGTGATATCATCAAGAAGTAGTTTTCAAATTAACAACTACCTTTTAAATTACATTTTTGGTTTGGAAGAACAACTCAACCTAAATATGCAAGTTTGTGTGTTAAACATATGTAACTAAGCACAACTTCAGGTATATGTATATTCAGTGTTGGGGAGTAACAGATTACATGTACTGGGATTACGTAATCAGAGTACAATTTATGAGTAACTGTATTCAGTTACAGTTACTGTTTCAGTGAGTGGTAATTGGATTACAGTTACTTTGTTGAAATAAATGGATTACACGGCGGTATTTTCCTGTTTTCACATTTTGGGCTAAACCAGGACTGAACCAGGTCTAAAAGCAGGACTAAACCTGGTCTAGACAATATGACACCTAACAGTAGAGTGGACATAATTTAAGGCAGCAGTGATTTCATATAGAAATAATTTCTCTATCAATATTTTTTGAACAAACAAGAGTTTTCAGGATGCGGTTGCTACATTCGTGTCGTTTTAAAAAACACGACAATACAAGTAATCCAAAGTATTCAGATTACGTTACTCACTTTAAGTAATTTAATGGATTACGTTACAAACTACATTTTGGGGTATGTAATCTGTAATCTGTAGGGTAATACATTTTAAAAGTAACCTTCCCAACACTGTGTATTTGATGAGGAAACAACATTATGACATAGATTAGAAAATAGCATAAATTATGTTAAATAGTGCACCTTTAATTTTTCTGGAGTAGGGTTTGTCTATATTATTACCATGAAAATACTAACAATGTAATTTATAGTCTTTGACGTTAGGTTAACACTATAAAAAGTAGAGAAAGTTAAATAAAAATAAAAATAATACCTAAGTTGAGATGGCAGGATTTTTATAAAACAGTGCAGTGTCAAAACATTCCTGAAATTTTAAATAAGGTCCACAACTAACAGAATATTCTTGTGTCAAAGCCTAAATAAGCTATTAAGAGGACTTGGCCAGTATTAGGAATCAGAAGCAGTGGCACTGACTAGTAAATGTTTCTTGTGTTCCAACATAAATTACATAGAAGGCTATGAGAATACCAAAGCAGGCAGTTGATAAATGAATGGACTGATAGAGAGGCACTAAAGCCACAGAAAGATTCATTCATCATTTTGCGTGTGCACACCCACCATCACAGTCTCATGGGAAACTCTCCTTATAGATAAGAGGAGGAGGCACAGGCTTACTGAATTCCTCATACCATTATGTGATGCCTGACTTCTTGTAACAAAACAAGCAAAACATTTTAAGACATAAAATAATGGACTGAAAATTATTTTATGGAGAGTTTGTGACCACTTTTAGTATCTGTACGAACACATTAAAGGGCCCATATTGCGTTATTTTCTACACAAACCTAACTGGAGATTTGTTTTGTTTCATTCACACATGTTTAACACACAAACCCTGTATATTTAGGCTTCTTAGTTCTTCTCTCAAACTGAATACACTCTGCTCCACTTTGTGATGTCTTGTGGTAATATCGGAAGTGCTCCAATGTGTTTTTGTTTACACTCCATACACATTTTAGTCTTGGAATTTCTCATTTCTACTAGACAAAGTTAAAAGGTTAACTTGTAAACTACAACTTCATGACATCAGAGCATTTTGAGCTTTGGGGATGTAGACAGACTAATAATAAAGGGTTACTGAAACTTATGTGAACAAAACACAACACCAGGCATGTTTTTGAGGACATAACAACATTATAACATGGCTAAGAGTCAACTTTGTATAATATCGGACTTTTAAAGCAGGCCTATCCCAGAATAATACAGAACAAATATAACCTCAGATTTTCTTAGTCTGACCAAATTAATTATTTCACATCCCCTGAGAAAGTGGTCCAGGATTGGCCTCACTCTATATCAAGCCCTTCATTGTCAGTGCCCTCCTTCCCAGCATGCCCCTTGTGCTGGCAGGCCTGGCACAGAAACAAACATGGCCGCTCACAGTGTTTCAAGTGCCTGTGGCTGGAAGAGCAGGAGAGCATGACAGCTGGCACTTTGCTGTCTCACACTATCCCTTTCTTCTGACGTAAACCAGACCACGAGAGTCATGTGCAGACAATACCCATGAGTGAATTACCAAAACAATTTAATGTTAAACAGCAAAACTAGTCTGTCAAAAGCATTACCTGGAAACACTTTGAGAGGCCGGTTCTTCTCCAAAATAATAACCAAAGCTCTGGCTGTGATGCTGAATATTTGTCGTGGAGTAAAATTTACACCATCATTGACTTGGAAATTGAATCCTCCAGACATGGCTCCTACACAAAGAAACAACGTGTAATAGTGAGAATGATACTCCCATGCATATTTAGAAGCAACATCTTTGCCATGAAATTCAGTGCTATCATAATATTTACTTGTAATGACCAAAAAGATCAATAAATAGACCAAGCACTCTCACAGCGTGAAGGAAAATCCTTCAGCTGAGGTATTCCTGACCAAGCCTAGCTCGAGATCTGAAGACTGAACACCCACTGCCCTTGATAGGGTGCTCCAGTGGCATTGAAGGATGGGTCAAATGCAGAAGACGTGTAGTGTACATTAACCTTGACCTTAGCTGAGAGCCAAACTGGGGCAGTGTTAAAGGCAAGGCCCCTGAATCTTCCATGTGTATAGTATGATGTTTTAATGTGCATTAATGTTCCATCAACATGCATAACACACAAGCCAAAGAAGTACAACTGCTGTCACCTTTGTGAACAAAAAGCAGCTGGCCCTGGTCTATGTGGGCCTGCGTGAAGTTGAGCACCGGCCTCATGGGGGCGCTCTTCAAGGCCAGGTGACCGTTACTGGGAGGAGTGATCATGTAGTGCAGATCATCTGAAGGTGAGTCCAGGTCTTCAGCCCTGAGGTCCTCTGGTCTTATTTCGGTCACTGATGACACCCAAACCTGCTCCCAAACAAAACACAGCTGCTTCAATATCTTCTACAGTCACATTAGAAGTGCATGATATTTGATATTTGCATACTTGACACACACGACACATTATATGACTTAATATCGCAAACCCGACATGAGGGATGTACACTGTGAAACACAGTCTAGAGATGCAAATCTGTATTAATAATGCAAAAACCTCAAGCTGGATACTTTATTTGCCAAAGAACATGAAACAGAAATTATATTTTTGACACAAATATAATGAGTTTACTTAGCAGAGTTCCATAATTCATATGTTTTTCTCCTTTTCAGTGTTCTGTATTCTCTGAAATTGAGGTAGATTTTTTTTCTTTTTTGCATTAAGGCCTCTACCTATACCTCTTCGCCTATCCCTTACAATTAGGGATAAGGCATATGACAGACAGCTAGAATACAAATAAGAAGTAAGTTTAAGACCATTAATATGAATATGGAGAAGATACATAAGAGACACTGAAACATTCAGTCATCAAACACTTGACGTGAATCCCACAGTGGAACATTGAACGTTAAAATGTACAGGAAGTGAATCACCCCCAGTAAAGCCCCTCTAAACCACAGCAGATTAGTGCAATGATTCTTCAAAGTATTCTCACTGCTGCTGCAGTAGCTGCAGTTGCAGATTATGGCAATTGTCCTATGTTTTTATTTGATTTAATTTTATTTGAGCAGATTGTTACACACTATTGAACCTGTTGAACCTTGAAGAACTAACATGGTGCCAGTCATTCTCTGTTCAAATTTTTCATATAAAAATATTGTTGTACTGCTCTTGCGTGAACAAAAGATATCAGTTGCAGAATAGTGTGAAGTAAACTGTTGGTACACTGTGCAGGCACTGTAAACATTTGGAGGACAAGAAACAGATATAGAGGGCCATCTTGTGGCCATTGGAAAAACTACATGGTGGTCATATAAGTTACTAGAAGGATATCAAGTGTACATATAGCATGAACAGTATTTTATTTCATTGTGTAACATAAACATCTATGTGCAATAAATGTCTCACATTTTATAGGTATGCTGTCATTATGTTTCAATATTTGTTTATTCCTATTATTTGTATTTTTTTTTTGAATGAACAGAAATGCTGAATGTAACTGAAATGTGAGATTTTTGATGAAACAAGATTCACAGCCCTTACATTACGCTGATAAGCTGACATTTTGCACATTTACTACAGAAGTGCAGTTCATTTGAAATGCTCCGTATTAGCCATCAGGCAGAAGAGAATGATTAAATATTGAATATTCAGCCTTAGGTGGGTCTTGGGGTTTCTCTTAAAACTTTCTCCACTAAACCTGAGGCCAGCAGTTCTCAACAAATGGACACTTATGGTAGCAGGTTACAACTGGTTTACAGGGAAAGCATTTAAAATACATGGCAGGGAAAGTACTTTTTCACTGACTGGTTGTAAATAATGCAAACGTTCTCTTGTACTCTATAGAGCAGTCGGATGCATAGAGCAACGTAACCAGGGCAGTCACAAAGTTATTTACAGCTCCTGCTAACATGTCATTCTGCACTGCAATAGGCAGTTTCACATAGTCTACTAGACTGGCTGTCACAACCTAAACCAATATGAACATACTTATTGTATGCTTAAACTTATCTGAACTTATATCAGAGCTTGATTCCATATAAACATAGTTGCATCTGGGAAGAATCTGGGACTTACAATATAAGCCCCAGATACTTATTTGGTATGCCAAGTTCTGCAGGGTACCAGCCCCATGGTCCCTCCTCTACATAGCAAACATATTTTCCCCTTCGGGCTAGCCATCCAGTCAGCCATGGCAAATAGTACCACTGCCCACATGAAAATTGTCTGACAGTAAGCTATGGTGCCAGAGCTGCAAGTAAAAAAACTTCAGAGATTAAATATAGAGCGGGCACAGACTCACCCTGAGGACCCTGTTGGCTGTAATAACAGGAGGCTCATCGTTGACAGCTGTAACCTGGATGTGCACCGCCTGGACTGCACTCTGCTTCCTCAGACCTGTGTCATTGGCCACCACTGAGAAGTTGTCAGCTAAAGTCTCACTGCTGTCATGCACATAGTAAATATACTCATGTTCAACCTAGAGATAAACAGAATGAAACATCATTGTCAAAAATCAATCATCAGTGGTACTCAAGTTTTAAAACCAAACACCTAACAATAAACTAGCCCTGCAAGTGCCACCAGGTCTAAAGCAGGGATTCATGTTGGATAAATAAAATTACACTACTAAACAATGTAATCTATCTGCTTACTGTTTACCAGGATAAAAACATGAAAATAGTGTACGAGTGTAAAAATAACCCACCTGCCTCCTGGTGAAAGAGGTTAGAGCCACCCCCGGGTGTCGGGAGTGTTCAATGTGACCATGGTACGGTGGCTGAGTCAAACTGTAGAGGAAGTTGATTCCAGAAAAATGGCGGTTGGTGACCTTTAGAATCTCCTGTGTGAGTGCCTTAGAGGCGCCCTCTTCCAGGGAGAAGTCAGAGACCTGCAAAGGGATGAGGCGTGGGATAATGTCGACAGACACCCTGATGCCCTGCACGTCTGTGACCCCATTGGTGACATCAAGGACGAAAGTGTCACTGAACGTGTCAGGGTCCACCTGCATGTACTGGATGTGTCCATTGTAAATGTCTGCTTGGCTGAACATCTTGACAGGAGACTGCCTGGTTCCGATGTAGCGCTCCTCCGGTTCAGCGAAACGTCGCAGAAATCCATGTGCTGGTCCTTCTATCACAGTGAATACAATCTCAGATGGCAGGTTGTCTTCATGAGTCACCTGCAGCAACGAGAACAAATGTTAAAAATCATCTGTGTGCCACTAGAGATATGTTTTGTTTGGTGAAAGGGCACTGTAGCAGAAAGATGTAAAACCAACAAACAATGCACCATGACAGTTTTCTGTTTATCTCATATTTCATTATGTTTCAGGAATGGTTATAGACTGTGAGTTATTTAACAACACAAGATTAAGATAAAGACAAAATATTATTTAATATATTAACTAGACAGTGTGAGGGGTTATATTTTGTAGTGAATAATCTGGACTCACTTACTTCTAGTTTAGTTTCATCAATCTTCACTGGCTTCCCCTCCTCCACCAGCACTGTGTTATGAGTCTGTATGATGGGAGGCCTCTGATGACTTTCTAGGTAAACTTTTACATTGACCTTTGCTGACAAGTGGAGTTCTTTGGCTTTGACTGTTAAGTTGAAGTGGTCTGCCAGATGTGTGCTGTCATTGTGGTGATATGAAAGACAACCAGCTTTTAAATCAGCTTGTGTGAATGAACTGACTTTTTCTCCACTGCAGTAAATAGCACCACTTTTAGGCATCTCATTCACTATAAACAGAACATCGTGGTCCTCTCTGATGTCCAGATTGTAAGCAACGGTAAAATTACTTGTGGAGATAGAGACAGATTTTCCCTTTTGGACCAGTAAGCCGCTATTATTTACAACTTTCAAGAACGGATCATGTGCACTGATGTCCAGCAAGCTGGAGACAAAATGTTTTCCATCTGAGACAAAAAGCACAAATCTACCAGTGCTAACACCTTTATGAATGAATAGCACACGATTCTCCTCCAAGTCCTTCTGGTGAAATTGGAACAGCCTGTGTGTTGTGTCATTCACCAATACAAGATCTCCCATTGGGATGCCTCGCCGGGTGTACAACAACTGTCCGTCATCGAAATCAGAGTCTGCGTCATAGTAACGTAAATCCTCTGCAGTCAGTAACCTCTGTCCATCTCTGACAACATGGAAAACCTTATCAATCACACGTACAGGTTTCTGATCATTGACCAGCTGGATTGAAATGTTAAACGTTTCCTCCTTGGAGCCAACCTCATCCTCTGCAATAGATGATTTAAATCCCTGAGTGGTGGATGCAATGAAAGTGAATGCATCTTCAGTTGTTTCACTATCATCATGAATGTACATAAGTCGCTTGTCCAAGATATCCTGGTTACTGAAAGTTAAAATGTTGGTATAGCTTGCATTCGAATTGGACTGACTAATGCGTGCTAGCTTCCCATGTTTAGGGCCAATAGTAACAGTGTAATACATATAAGTAGTACTCAAAGTCTCTGCAAACAGCTCATCTTTAGTGATTAATTTGCTTTCTCCTTCCAAAAGTGACAGTCCATCATTTTTTATAAACACACTATTAACATCTGCTTTGATTGTGAATTGGAAATCATAGTTTTGAGACTGGGCATGTTTGGAAAAAAGCAGAAATTTGAACCTATCACTTGTATCTTCGTAAGGCCTGTCCACTAATTCATAATGCACTTTATATTCAGTTACATTTCTCTGACTAAAACTTGTATTTTTGCCCAAAACAGTGGAGTCCAATAGCAGCCTTCCTTTCTTTGGTGTGGTCAGAACTCTATAATAAAGGTCGTCTTCTGACAGATCCACTCCTTCAGCAGTAGCAAATAGATTCTCTGAGCCAAGTGTCACTTTGCGCACTTTATCCAGGTCAATAATGACATTTCTAACCAGAGTGTACTTAACCCACTTGACTGTGATAGGGAAAAGTAATTCAGTATTTGCCCTCGCCGCCACATTAATTTTGCACTTGAAGTAATCAGATGCGTTCGAAGTCTGTAATTCTAGATAAGTGTTGACATATCTTAGCCGCTCTTTTTCGAGTAGCCTCTGGGAGAATGAATCAGTGGCTCTCCATTCACCACTAGAGTGAAGCCTCTGCAGCTCTCCGTATTGTGGAGGTTCAGTGATGTCATAGCGGATGTCAACAACCTGTTTCACGGCATTCGTCTGCACGGCTAAATGAGACGTGCCGATTATAGCCCAGTCTCCCTGTGTGATCTCCAGACCCGTGTTGTTTGTAATTTTATACTCCAGTGTGATGGCCAACACTCTCAGGACCACGGTGTTACTGACCTTCTCCCCATCGCTCACTCTGAACACTATTCGGGAGTTTCTGACCCCTGTGTGGACATAGTGCACCCTCAACTCCTCCAGATCTGTGTATGTGAAGGAGGTCACAGTTGTACCAGGGTTACCTTCAAGCTCCAGATATCCTGCATCTGCATTCAGGTTTCCCAGAACAGAGAAGACCAGATCTGTGTTGGGACTGTCGATATCTGTGGCCTTCAGAATATCTGTAGTGAGACGTTTCTTTGAGTTTTCCAGCAGAAGAAAGAGATTTCCCTCAGGGAGGCTTAACTCAGGGGCATCATTGGTGGGTGTTACAGTTATGTTGTAGCGGTACAGTTTATTGTTCTTCAAGTAATCGGGGACAGGTTTTCTGCTACTCGAATAAATGGAAAACATGAAGAAATCGTCTGGATCTTCAGATCCTCCATGAATGTACATGACCCTCTCGTGCCAGAGGTCCAACATGCTGAAGGTGTGTTCCTCTTGGTCTGGGTCTACATCCAGACGCATTTGACCACGCAGTGGCTGTTCTTGAATTCTGAACATAATTTGTGACTGTCGAATACCCAGAGCCTTGAAATCCAGCAGAATCTTAATGTGTTTAGCCTCCAAAGACGCTCGACCGCCTTCAGGAACAACAAGGTTTCGAAGATGAACAAAATTAGCTCCATACCTTCTATCAAGGCCTTTGGCCAGTGTGGACATGTGCAGGGATGGGGTGGGTGTCAAAAAGCGCCCGGAGCTGGGGGCACTGGTGGGGCTCACAGTGGTGGCTGGCTCTGGTTCCTTTTCTGGCTCACATCCAACAGAGATGTCCTTTGTGACTACAGCAGTGGAGAGACCCATTTTTACACCATTAACAACAACATTTCTCAGGCATCCCTTAAAAGAACCTCCTTTGGCCCGTTTTCCAGTTACAGAGACCAGAGCAGCTTTCCGAGCTTCTAACCTGGAGCTTTCATCAGTGCCACCAACAAATAAATAGCCCTTAAGATGTAGCTCTTCAGAGTGAGAGACTATGCTGGCTTTTACTTCTTTGTCATCCACATAGAGCTGAAGGCTTTGTAAATTTAAATGTAACTTGACAGTATGCCATTTTCTGTCATTGATAAATGTCATTGAACGAAGTTCAGTTTTGCTTCCTCCTTTTCCAATTAGAGCAACCAGCAATCCATCCCGAATCTCCACAGCTACAAAATCGCCCTGACTGCCAGAATTATACAGTAGAATTCCTTCTTTAGCAGAAGTGTGCACAACACACTCAAATACAACTTCTTTTGGAGAGCCCAAAGGGGGAAGGGAAATATAGGCCCGAGAGCTGAAGAAGCTGACAGGGTCCTCCTCTGTAGCAAAGAACTGAGGACTGCAGCCGAGTGACACTTCATAGACCGTCTTTAATCCTGCATAAGGCCTCAGGGAGGACAACAGGTCATGCTCATTGAACTGCACTTCCTCCATGCAGCCTCTGAATCCTATCATCTCTCTGTAGAGATAGGGCCTGTTGAGTCCTCCCGAGCCCCCCACATAGAAGCCATTGTCCACACTGAGCTGAGCAGAGGGACCAGTCATCGTCAGGCTGCTCTGGGAGTTCCTGTCCAGAGCCAGGGTCACATTGTGTCCCACATGAGAGACCTCAACCGAGTGCCAGGCCAAGTCATTGAGCTGTGAGCCCTTTTCTGACTGCAGCACGTGCTCCCCAGATCCAACATCCAGTTTCAGCTGAAAAACAAAGCACAAATCTATAAATACTTTACATTTAAAATGTTAAAATGAACTGAAGCTAAAATGAGTACAGGGAATAATGAAGATTGGATTATTTCTATATAGACACAATGGGAATACACACACTACACATAATAAAGTCACCTGTTGTTCTAACTGGAAGCACTGTCTGTCATTTTGAGCAGGAAGTCTCTTATTATGTTCTTGCTGTCAGCTATGTCCTCTGAGCATCATGTCACTACCTCTAGCTAATGCTGCACTTGGATGACATGCTTGTCAAGGCTTGCTGCAGAGTCCCAGTTATTCGAGCCTGGCCACACTCATATCTGACTAAGATGGAACAGGGCCTCACACCCCGGGACAACGAGCTTGAGTGACTACAAAAACTATTTGGTGACCTGTGCCTTCAAAGAGTCCTTCCCTTGTGCTCAGTGAAGTACAACAATGCACCCCAGTCGCCAAATGATTCACTCTTAAATATAACACGAATAGATGGTTAGTCACAAGGATTTATCAAGTGTAATGCACAAAACTTAGAAGTCACCTTGTCACTGTGTGGCTTAGAAAGTGTATGGGTTACTTTTTAAAAATGTCCACGCTCTCTGCTGATTTAGCACCACAGCGGGGCTTAGATGGCTGTTTTAGAGTTTGCCTTTGGACTAAAAATAGCACATCAAACACATGACTATATTTTGTCATTTGTGTTCAAAGTATTTCTGACTAAAGTAAATCAATCTGGAGACTAAATATAGCAATGACTATTTTAAGTTAATAAACTAAAATGCTCTTCTAAAATGTAAAAGTTATATTTTGCAAACTATTTACATAGATCTGACATAAATCCTTTTATTGAAATACAGTAGCAGTGCATGATGTACCCAAATAATTTAGTAATATCACCTTTTTTGGCTCATAACCCAGTCTATACCTAGTCCATATTTACAAAGTCCAAAGTCTTGTATAATAAGAAACGTTAAAATGGTTTAATACAGCGTTAGGCATTTACCCACAAGTCAGAAAGTTAGCAGTTCAATCCATGCCCATGTCAGAAAGTAAAAATATGAATAATAATAACATGTTTTATTCTTCTTTTACTTCTATTTGCAGTGAAACCTTAAATCTAGCTGAAGGTTAAATATCTTGAAAACACCAGTGTGACTGCCATGATTTTCCCCTTGTTCCGACTGTGACAGGAAGTGACTGCTATAGAGTTAACACTCCTCTGCTGTCTGCTTCTGTTTCTGAGCAGAGAGACTGATGCTGTCAACTGAGATGAAGTTATAGCTTTAGGTGACCAGTGCGCGTCTTTGACTTTTGGTGCACACACATGTATGCACTCATGTATGTACTCATGTATGCATAGAGCAATATGCTGATACACTGCTGCAGCTATGGTTGTACCTACCTGGAGGCGCCCGGCGTGGAGCTCCAGCAGAAAGTAGTGTCTCTGGCCAGCAGCGACAAACAGCAGACCACTGGTGCGGGAGGTCCGGAAGCGCAGCCGCAGTATGTTATGGTCCGACGACTCTTTTGCTTTGAGCTGGACAAAGCCATCACCATAGAAGGAGGCTGTAGAAAGAGAAAGATGTTTGTAATTAAAATTCATAACATTTTTATTAAGCCACAGAAATGATAACATCAAATACTGTGGAGACAAAGGCACAAAAACACACAAGTCAGGTCCTGCATTGTGGTCTTAATTTAGCAACACATGACATTTAAATGTAAAAGGCAACCTAATTATCATCCTGGGTGTTCTTTACAAGTGAAGCAGAGACATGCACGCTCTCAGGGATTTACAGTCTGGATAACAATCACACGTTTGGTTTATAGAGTCACATTTCTGCACTTGCTTTGCTGGAAGGTCTGCTCGTGTTTACATTCTCTGTGTTATTCACTAATGAAAATGTACAGGCATATTGTTAGGACAAGATAAAACATGACTTTCAACTTACTTTCGAACCTGTACTTTAGTATTCTGCACCAAAGAACAATTACAAGACATTCATTTTGCCACTGATGCCATAATGAAAATGGAACAAGTATATAGCATAATGAAACACAACAGCGTAACTTTTCTGACTTTTTAAAAAGCACTGTGTAACTTTTCTAACATTTATTCAACTATGCATTTCTTTTGCTCCAAAATACCTTTAAAACATACATTCTTAGACTGAACAAGGTTGCCTCTCCACAGACCTAACCTTTAATTTCATCTTGTGGAATCTTGAGCTGGTCTCTATTGAGAATTTTGACTAGAATAAAGTTTATACTGTAGAACATTGCAAGCAAAGCAACATAGTCATCATGAACATAAGATACTCACTGGTAAAGTTACTTAGTGTACCTTTAAATACAGAGTGGATGCGCAGGGGGCTATGTGAGGGCTAGAGACATGTACAGACGTGCCTGGCCTGACTGGAACCTTCAACCTGAACATGAAAGATGTTCTCACATTGAAACACGACAGAGAAGACCCAAGGCCCAGCTGTTTCTTTAAGAGACTTCTCATCACCCTGTAATCGGGTCCGTAGTCTCTGAACTCTGGTCATGTGTGGGCTGTATCAATTTAATGTAGGCAGTTTTAAATTAGTAAGCATGTTCTACATAGCAATGTGGTAATCTAAACTTCATTTTATATGTGTGGTTTGTAGCCCAGGAGCAAAAAAAAAAAAAAAATGGATGGTGCCATTAGTTAAAAGCAATGTTAGTTAATGCAGTGTTTTAGTCTAAAAGGGGTTAATGGACTAATTAATGGACTAATGGACTTTTCATGCCCTGGTGCAAATTAACAGATTTAAACACCAATAGCCCATTTAAGTAATTTTGCCTTTAATTAAATTGGATGGATTTTTTAAAATGAAAGCTCAAACCTGCATGGAACATACAATGTCATTGTGTCCTTATTTTATATCTTATTTGCAGTAAATTATTTTACATTGTCTATGCAGAGTAAAAAAATTAAAACATCCAGCAAACGGGTCAAGAGGAAAGCAATGACATTTCCCCCCTTGTTTATCCACAACACTGGGCATGCTCAAATGCATTAATGTGTTGTAGTGGCAATCGCACCATAAGATGTCAGATGGCTACTACCAGAAATTAGTGTTTCTTTAATTGAGATACAATGGACAGCCTATAGGTTCTGCTGTAGAATCAGTGAAACGTAGGGGTTATAAGACTATGACAGAGAAGAGGTGGGAATCAGGAAACAGGCCAGTGCAGTGGTGAGCTGTGCTTCATGAGGCTGTTCTGTGCTTCATGAGGCTGTTCTGTAATCTATGTCCAAGGGCCACTTTTGGTCATGACAGGGACAATGTCTGCCTAACTACAAAGATGCCCTTTTGCCCCTCATCTTTTACAGTTAATTTGAGGAGCGGGACCAGAGCTTGTCACTGCTTGTGTGCTGAGTTTATACAACAACTGTGAGATTGGATTTGACTGGAGTGCCTCTGTGGTTTGGGTTGGCTGTCACACCACTCCGTTGATACAATGTCTCAGAGATGAATACTAATAAACTGCAGTCAGAGGAACTACAGAGGAAGTTAAAGAGTCGCAGGAACGCACCCAAGTATAAGTAAATGTCTATAATGTAGTTGTTTTCAATGAAGGGCATAGGAAGAGTGAGTCATACTGAAATATTCCTGATAATTCCCAGAGGCCAGGGCTGTATATATAGGCTGAAATATAATGACACATGCCCAGATCAACTCATGCAGCAGGCAAACAAACGCCTTCATGGATGTGAACAGCAGATGATGTACATAACTCACTAAAACATATTTTGCCTTAGGTCTTACAACGCAGGCTGTCCACTTTCTTCAACTCATTTAAGTGAGCTATTGTCATAGCCAGATAATTCTTCCAGTGCACTGGACATCACAGCTCTTATCTGCTGAAGCCTCTGATAAGGTATATGTCCAACCACTGTACCCACTTCATGCATCTTCATTTGAGTACAGAGAATACTGTGATTCAATGATTTTGATCCCTAATTTTTATAATTAACAAAAATTTTAAACCCTGATTTTAAACGAGCGGGGACAACATTAGTAAAGCCTTTGTTACAAGAGGTTAAGCTCAAAACACATGTGCAAGTCTACCTTTCATGGGTCAACATTCAAAACAGAAAAGGCACACGAACAATATAAGACAAATATGGGTTTGTTTCACGTTTGTCAAGTTACCTAAAACAAAACCTACCCCTTGAGGATTAGGGGGAGGATACAAATAACCTCACAACAAATCAGACACGACTTAAACTAATAAAAGTTATCCCCTAAAACGCATATGGAGAGCTAAGAAACAAGGGCGCACACTTATACGCACCATTTTAATTGCAACAAAGAAAGACTGAAGCAGAATTACCTCCAGACGACAGCGCGATGAGAAGCGACCACCAAAGAAGACCACAAAGACACAACTTCTTGCCGTTTTCCCCCATAGCCTCCATCGTCCGTCTTTTTAAAGGGAACAGCTAAAGTAACAGGCTCTCCTGTGTTACATATTTACAGACTTGGCTGCACTGTCCCAAGTTTTTGGCACGTTTTCCCACATTATAGTCAATGTACGCGTGACCCAACGAGTCTCCACACCGGAATGTGTGCAGGAGTCTCGGACGAAAGTGCTCCAAAGCAGCGACACGTAAACTCCGCCTCGCGAGAGAGTACGGGCTCTGTGCGCGCTCATGAATGCGCGCCATAGTCTACTGGAAACTGAGTAGGATTTCTGAATAAGTCAATATTATACTTTTAACTCCTTCATCTTAGCCAAATTGCATGTCCGTAACATAAAATCCCTTAATAGAAAACCTATTCCCACTTTCCAACAATAAACAAACAGTTATAAACAACACAAACCACAGAGCTGTCACTTAATATTTTTTGGACTTTCTTTTTTCATCTCGTTTCTTTGCTTTCTGTAATCTGATGTATAGTACTGTGAGATTTATGCTGTCTTATTTTTTTCGCAACAAAATAAAATGAATAAATACAACTCTGATTTATACAACGAGCAGAATATATATGTAATTATTAAACAGAATACTGAGTCACATTATTGGAGCTTTAATCTATTCTAAGTCAAAATACAGGTATGTTATAATCTATGCGTCCACATTTTTTTCATTATTACTGAAACATGCATGAAGATAGATGACTAAAGGATTAGGCTACTTTAAGTAACCCAGAGGTATAAAATTAGTGCACACTCACAGTATGAAAAACAATAAAACAGAAAAGATAAAATGTATTTCAGTGGTTCTCCAGATGTAAAAAAAAAAACAATGTAGCCCTTTGAGCTTCAGTGCTGAGGTACTGTGTAATTAAGAAGTGATAAGAAATCTGGCACATTAAGGGCCTTTAATAAGTTTGGTGTACTCCTGCTTGATACAGGTGTAGATGCTGTGGTAGAAAGGCCTGTCTGGAGCCATGATATCGGTCACCATTTCAGTGTGGTCAACTCTTGGCAGGAGGAAGAGCACCGCAGACAGCGAAAGTGAGCACAGCAGATCAGAAAACTTTGTAGAAGACTCAACTGGAACAATTATATCATCAGTCCCATGAAGCAAAACAAATGGAGGCACTCTGAAATTAAAAGGATATAAAGCAAATTTATAAGGGGTACATTATTATATTAACTATAACCTAATATTTAGGTCAGATTTTTGGTGTGTGTTTACATGAACAAAATCTGATAATGAATAAACCTGGTGACATGTGTCAGTTAGTCAATAGATTTTAGAGAAACTGTTGTATTTACTCTGAATTTTTACAATTAACTTTATAATAACTCAATCTTTATTAACATTTTATTTTTGTCTTTGGCGCATTAGTTTGCCATTTTTACATGATCTTACACTGTCAAATTTGCACAGGTGTGAACAATCAGAAAGAAACCAAATTACTCAAATGAGATGTAATTATACGACATTTCAATAATCGAATAACTCCAGAATGGATTGAGTTCATGTATTGTAAACATAGCCATTGTGACATAAACTGATTTAATAAAATTTACAGACCTTTTTAGTTTGTCTTCTCCAAATGTTTTGAGTACATGAGTTGGGGAGTAGTATGAAAAGTTATGTACTCCATTCATGGCTTTGTGCATAGTAGAAACGTACTCAATCCCTCTCATCTGTTCATGCTCATAGTGATCCAAGATGTTGTAAACTCCACTGAGACCTGTACATTTTAATACAATGAGTTTATTACAGTATTGTGTAGTAGAGGTTTTAGTCAAAAGATGTCTGTACTAGCGTTATCAAAGCAGAAGAAAAATAATAAAATTGATACTAAAACTAGTATTGTGTTATATCCTTAGTACCACAATCAAGTTTGCAATTTCAGTAGCGTAACAACTGTACAGTAGGTGTAGCATACCTATAACTCCTTTTAGTGATGGAGTAATATCTTGCTGTTTGCTTGTCTCAATGAAAAGTTCCTCTCTTGAGTCAATTAGAAACAGTGTGGTAAGTGTGCACAGATGTGCACCAGCAGAGTGTCCAATTAAAATAATGTTGTTCTGCAAAGACAATGAAATGTAAAAAATCACATGTACTGATATATATCAAACTGAACTTTAAAAAAAGAAAGTATTTAAAATATTTTTTACATGATCAAATTTGAACTTCTCTGCACTCTCTTTAGCCCAAATTAGGCAGTCTGCAATATCTTGGACCATTCCCAATACATTGCTCTGTAAAGTAAATAATAAACCTCATCATAAGAAGTAATTACTAGACACTATACCTTACTGAACGACAGACATTAAAAGCACCTTCTGTACCTTTGGATAAGTGCTGTAGTCAGGACATATTACAGTGGCATTTAATTCTTCAGCCATGTGTCTGGCAAGCAAACAATAAATAGCTCTTTCTCCAGAGCCCCAAGCTCCTCCATAGATGAAAACTATAAGAGGTACTTTGACATTTTCCATCTTTGGGGAGTAGTATAAGTCCAGCTTGTTACCTCTACGCCCAAAAGAGATGCCCTGTCCAAGAATAATCAGTAGAAAGCATATCAGTATAAAACAATTTCAAATATGTCTCATATTTCAACTAACCTTTTCATAATGTTTACAATTTTCAACATCTTTATACCAGGATTTCCATCTGAAGTAAAGTCTTCCATACTGCAGATATTTCAGAGTTTCTAGTACTGCTCTAGCCAAGCAGTAAATGCGCCTGTTGGAGGTAAACACAAAGTTGTTAATGAACTGCCAAGAACATATCATACTTGAACACTGCTGTTGGATATTAGGCCTGTTGTGCTACCTTGGTTTAAGGGCTTCTGTGTACTTCTTGTATCCAGGCTTGTTGGGCCACCCGTACAACCACTGGGCAGCGAGAGAAATGGAGTACGGCAATCCAACGAGCAAAACACCTGCTGCTACAGGTACACTCATGTGAGACCTAAGCTGCAACCTGCAAATACAAAGTATGTTAACATTGTATTACATGAATGGATTATAAATTTAGACTTTCAATAAAACACTTACATATTGTGATTCATTAGGCTCTGACCACCTGCAGAAATAAAGACAAATAGTATATACATTACACATGATATATACACATTATATTACTAAAAATTACTAAAATTAAAAAGTCAGGTTTCTGAAAAAAATAAAATGCACTGATTGAACTTTGATTTGTGCCATGGCGCCCTCAAGTGTTGTACAAAACAAACAAGCACAGTAAAAGATATCAAAGCTAGTCTCGGCTAAATGCAAAAAATACACACATTTTACCTGTACCATGTTACAGTCAGCTTTAATATCACATCATTCAGTAATTTACAGAGATGACGCGTAAACCGTGCTTTGCCAAAGCTTTTTTTTTTTTTTTTTTTCGTGCTTTGCCAAAGCAGTTATCATCCCATCTGCAGTACGGTCAAAAATACAGTAGTCTTACCACTTTCAAGAAATTCACATGTCTAACAGGAATATAGCCTAAATCAAAATAGATAGATAGACCATGCATGTATACTTCCAGGACCCCATCCCATAAGCTAACTCTTTTGCACATTAAGGAACAGAAACGCATCACAAGAACAATTTACACAGGGCTACTGCTAATAATTACTCGCCATGAAGTGAGCATGCGCCCTCAGAGTATGTTAGTTGTTCGTAATATCAGTGTTTAAGTTATTGCAGTCTTCTTACACATGAAACATCCAAAACCATCTGATGCCCTTCATCTAAAGCCGGTGTCACCTGATCGCACGAAGGTGTTTGGAAAAACAGTTCGGTGACCGCTACTTCCGTTTTCGCACGGAAGTGCAAATGACTGGAACCTACTCACGTGTAGCTTTTTAGTTATTTAGATTTTTTTCAACAAATGAACCTCCAAGGTAAGTTGAACGTTAAATCATTTTGCATATTGTGTTAATAGGATCCATGGCATCTGAAAAAGTATAGCAAGAGTGAGAATGAGCCTTCTTATGATAACCAGTCTATGCTGCAGATTTTGTGTTGTTAAAATAAGTTAATGGCATTAATAATAAGTCTGCCAAACTTTTATAAAGGTAGTCTTACGGCTAAATGTACATCCTTGCGTGTTTCATAAAAAGGCATTGACAACATTAGTCCACTAGAGGGTGAAATAAGCTCACAATGTAGAGCCGTGTGTGGCTAGCCCTGTACTTGCAGGTGACTCTGTCCAGCCCTGGTATGTAAATGCTACTGTAAATGCTACTGGAAATACACCTCATCTTTCATATCATGTTAAACAAATTAGGTTATGTAAAACTTTCTCTGAGTCCTGCTTCCAAATAGATAAGGGATCATAAATGTGATGTGGAATTAAGCTTTATATACATATTTTAACATGTTTAAGCTCTGTACATGATCATCCTGTCACATTTTTCAATAATAGCTTCATTCTAAGGTCAAATTAATTACCTTAACCAAACCCCAAGATCCAACACCAACATTTACACATTACTTGTGGTTTACATAGAAACACTTCTCTATTAAAGCACCAATAAATCATTCTGTGTTAGCCCATTGTGGTGCCTCTGCCTCAGTCTGTGGAAACTTGGATGAAGCTCTGCAAATTCATTGAAAGCTGAGAGTTTACAGAGCCGAATAGAGCCTGGGTTATTGTCATATTTGTTGTATTTGGCCCCACAGAGCTGCTTGTCCAGCCTTGAATAGGTGTGCGGTGGTACCTCTGTCTCCGCAATGTGGGGAGTCCCAGGTGCAGTGAAGGAACCAGCGCCAAGCCAGGACTTCCTGTGGCAGAATAAGCATGGTCAGCTGCTTTTAAATACTCTACTGAATATTTGTGGGGTCTCTCATGCCCATTTAAGACATTATTATTGTTCTTTGGGGAATTATTGAATGAATGGTGGTATTCAGATGATATAGACTGATGTACTTCAAGCATAGGCTAGATTTGTATTTTGTGATTAGTTAATTATTCAAGTCAGTGGACATGCAAGATGAGGTCCTATTTATCTTAATGATAACAATGTACCATACAAACAATGATTTATAAAACCACAATTACAAATCTGTGAATTAATCATAGTTAGCTAGTTTGAACAAATCAGTCAATCGCTTGATTAGTTATCAAAGTATTATAGCTCAAATAAGAATTTAACTGACATAGTGCAAAATAAATGAAATGCAACAGGCCTACATGACTAGTACTTTCTTGCAACCAGTAGGGTATTTATACTTTGCAGTGACATCACTCTGAGGGTGTTCTGTATGTATCTCTATGCTGGAATGTTCAGCAGTTACCATGGTGACACAATGCTGACAATAGCAAACATGGTCAAAAACTGTTAAAACTCAAGAAAAAAATACAAAACTGATATAAAGAACATATTTTCAGGAGTCTGTGATCACGGTCAGGTTTAGGTGTTTCTGTTTAACTAAAAGGTGTGAGTGACTATAACTAAAAAATGGTTGTCTAATACTAGTTGGCTTGTGAATGCAATTTTATGGGCGAGAAAATTTATTAACAGGACAAATCATCTTATGTGATTCCATCTGAAACAGTTCTTTACTCTCAGATTGTATTCAAATAAAACTCAGATTAACGTCTAACATGCCTCAAATAGAGCAGTTCTTACAGTTAGCATCACACCCCTATGTGGATGACATCAGAGGCAAAGTATCAATTGGCGGTATAAGAATGATCTTTGGTTTCTTAGGAGATATAACAATGGTTAAGTAGGTGCTATTATTTACCATTGAGCTCAGAGCTTACTTTCAATTGTACTCTTTTCACACTTTGACTAGATTACACAACAGCATCTAACGTTAACCTAAATTTAGGTCTTAAAAATGCCATGTGCCAGTAACAACATTACTAGTACATAACATTCCAACTAGTAACCTTGATTTTGATGTGTGCTTCTGTTTCTTGTGGAACTGAAATTCTACGTCTGAGTCTTGTCCTTTTCAGTTCAACAGGGATGTCGACCTGAGGGGTAAAAGTACTGGTTTATACAGAGCTCAGTGAAGAAGTTTTTGTCTGTGCAATTTTCTGACAGGGTACATTTAATGCCGGCCAATCAAAATGTTTTATACCCAAGGAATTTTGTTAGAAAGTTAGAAAGGGCTTCAATCATTGTTTGAGTTGATGTTTGACAACCAACAGCAGCATCCTGGTTCTTACTTTGTTGACTGTTGTACAACAAACATGAGGAAAAAGGACAGAGAGGACAGATTATAAAAGGACCTTCAAACAGATACTTTCTATTGAAGTGCAGTGCAACTTCAAAGATTGTTGATTTTGTAATTGATATTTGTTTCAAAACACATGAGCCACACCAATTGGAAGCAACATGTTCAACAGGCTTAGCTCAGGCTTGTATATACTTGAGTCTATTCCTCAAACTATGGGCCACGTACATTCATACACTGATAAAGAGCATTCAATCTTTTTCCAATGTACTGGTTTTGGTCCATGTACAAGGCAGGAGTATCATGTGAACCTAATGCAAGATCCGGTTTTCCCATATCGTTGCATTTATATTATCAGCAATTAATAATACATTTCAAAACACATACACTAAAGTATTTCTTCTGAGGATTTCTAATTATTCAAAATCCTTAATTCATGGTTGTATTATTAGTGATAAATTCTACTTTTTGATTACATTTAATTTAGTCTTTTCTATCTGCAAAGTCTGAACTCCGCAAAGTCTGAACTTTCTCTGAAAGAGGATCTTAAAATGTAATTTCCCAGTCCTTCATTAATGTACAGTAACTTGGGCTATTGCATTTAAATCTTTTAAAATTGTGTCATCTCCTTCCATCTGTCTGCCCCAGGGCAGCTGAAGCTACAATAGTAGCTTACCACCACAGAGTGTGGAGTGAATAAATGAATGCTCTGTGAAGTGCTTTGGGTGTCTTGAATGGAGCTACATAAAATCCAAAAGATAAAATTCAACAGATGTACTTGATGTATAATATATACCATTGGCTACAGCTGAAAACCTGTTTGCAGTCACTGTGCATACACATTGGTCTATTTGCCTCCCCCCGGTGGACCCCTTTGGTGACCCAGTCTCCTATATACCCCTCACTGATGTATGGCTCAGTGCCCGCATGCATGCAGGCTGGTTTCCTCGTCTCTATCTACATCTCTGCACTTTCCAATTTGCCTTGAGTCGTTTGGGGATTCTGCCTTATGTGGCTTGGGATCGGTGGACACAGGGCCATCTTTTAAGTGGAAATTCACCAATACACTGCGTTTAAATGAATGTTCTTTTACAGAGGGGAACCATGGAAACTGGCACTAACCACAAGGCCCAAATTCTAGGTATCCCAGTGCCTGGAATCACGCCCTAAGTCCTGCTCGTCCGGGGGAAGACAGAGGTGCGGTGATTGATAGGACAGAAACAGAGTGGCCATTCTTGTCTGATGTGGCTCAATGAATGCTAACTGACCTGGGAGGATGCTCAACACTGCATAGATTACAAAAAGACAGAGAGGTTTGGCGACATAAGCCAGTTGATGGGGTAACTGCCCAAGCAAATCAAAGATCAGTTAGTGTCCATGCTAAGGTTGAGGGGGTTCAGAGGTAACAGGTTGCTCTTTATATAGTCCAGCCCTTTACAGCGAGCGGTCAAATTTCAGTGCGTCATGTCTCTTTCCAGCACCCACTGAGTCAACAGAAGGGAAGAGGCACACAGCATGGGGCGGAATCGCCAACTCACACATGACCGATAAGCTTTCTACAGTGGAAATAGCGGCAATACAAATATAAAATGTGAACAATATTGTGCCCCTCTCTGTGTGGACACTGTGTGGCACAATCACAGCTGCTTCTCCACCACAGCACGTTTCTGCTTTCTTTGCTTCTCTGGCAGACTTGAGAACCACCTGCACTGTTTTATAATGATGGTTTTAGTCGTTTGATAGCGCTGCTTCTCCCACTTCTGCTGAAGATTTTCACATCTTTAAATTAGGCTAATGCCATGACATATTTATAGACAGCAGAGGTGTCAGTGGAGACACTTCTCATACAGCTCAAACTTCTGTTGCAGTCCGCCTCCAGCTTTAGAGAGAAAGTGGTTTCCAACCTGTGGCATGAGGTCTATTGGTGGTTCACATGTTATTTCTGGTATGGAACTTTCCAAATGCAGTGCAGTTACTCATACTGCTATAAATTATTTGGTTTAGCTAATTGATTTAAGCAGAGAGCTTGCCTAAATTGCCTAAACATGGATTATTCATTGTTATTAATAGTATTAAGTATGTTTATGAATTGGAAAATGTGTGATAGTCAACCATCCAACATGAAAACAATGTAATCCTTTATAATCATTTGCAGGTCCTGTAAGTTGCGGTCTTGACCAGAATTTACAGTATATAATCTCATGGCAAAAAGTTCCTGGTTTCCACTGATGGCATGTGGAATAAGTCAGCAGAAATGGATCCATTGTAACAGCATGTGCGTAACTCGGTATGTTTTTATTCCGTACCTTTGTTTGCCTTTGAGCTCTGTGCGTGCAGTGTTCATGGCTCAGGCAGAAGACATTCTTTCCACAGTTTCTGTATCAAATAGTACAGGGCTGCCATGCTAAACACTTGCTCCCAAACGTAGAAAGGCCCACATAAGTTATAGAATTATGCACAAGAAAAACTTTCCAGTAAAAATACAAGGATGGCCTTCCCCAAACTGCCCTGGCCCCCAGACTGCTGTGCATGCAATATTTTACAGTGTACTGTTCAGAGTGTCCACTGAG